CTCATACTATAGACATGTTATCAGGAGGGACCAGTCCCTGGAGAAGGGCATCATGCTTGGTAATGAGAGGGCCATCAAATCAAGAGGGAACCCCTCAATGAGCTGGGTTAACAAAGTGGCTGCAACAATGGACCCAAATGCAGCTGAAATTGTGAGGCTGGTGTTGTTCCGTTATGTGTACAGTGTGACTGTGAGTCAAAACTGACTCAATGACATTGAGCAACAATCTCTAAGGAAGAAGATCACCAGATCTCTCTCCTCGAAGAGGCTAGGTGAGTTCAAATCACAAACTTTTTGGTTAGCCCCCAAGCACTTATTCATTGAGCCACCAGGGCTATGTTAGGTGCCATTGAGTCTGTACCAACTCATAGAAACTCTATGTAAACAATGCCTGGGTCCGCACCATCTTCTCAATAACTGTTACGTTCCAGCCCATTGTTGTAACCACTGTATCAGGCCATCTCACTGAAGGTCTTCTCTTCTTTCTTGGTGACCCTCCACTTTACAAGTGTGATATCTTTCTCCAGTAACTGGTTCTTCCTGACAGCATGCCCAAAGTATGAGAGAGAAAGTTTCTACATCCAGGCTTCTAAGGAGCAATCTGGCTATATTTCTTTCCAGACAGATTTGTTTGTTCTCCTGGTAGTTCCTGGTACTTTGAATATTCTTCACCAACACCTGCATTGTTTCATCTACAGTCTTCTTTATTCATTGTCCAACTTTCACATAGTTATGAAATGATTGAAAATACCATGGCTTGGGCCAGGTGTAACTGGTAGTCTGTCAAATCCTATAGCCTTGGTTTTCACTAATGCTTTAAGGCAGCTTGGACTTCTTCCTTCAACACCATTAGTTTTTGATTGTATGTTACGTCCTGAAATGGTTAAATATTGACCAATCTTTTTGGTACAATGACTCTGTTTACTCGTGCTATCTTTTTTGATGCTTTCTGCATTGGTCAATATTTTACTCATTGTTGTTGTTAAGTGCCATAGAGTTGGGTTCTGACCCATAGCAACCCTGTATAGGGTTTCCAAGGAGCAGCTTGTGAGCTTGAATTGCTGGCCTTGCAGCTCAAACAAACTTTGCAGCGCAGCGCATTAACCAACAGCGCCACACCAGGACTCCGTTTTACCCATAGAATCCTTCACTATTGCAATATGAGGCTTGAAATTTTTCTTCAGTTCTTTAAACTTCCAAGTGCTGAGGGGTTCTTCTGTTTTGGTTTTCTAACTGTAGGTCTTTCCACTTTTTTCTTTTTTTTTCATTTTTCACGTAGGAAGTGGGAGCTAGTAATTGTTGCTGTTATTAAATACTGTCAAGTCCAACTCATAGCAACACTGTATAGGGGTTTCCAAGGCTGCACATCTTTGTGAGAGCAGAAAGCCTCATCTCTCTCCCATGGAGCATCTGGTCGGCTCAAGCTGCCAACCTGTGGTTAGCAGTCCGATGCTTATCCTACAGTGCCAATGCGGTGTTAATGATTGTTATTTTATTGTTGTGTGCCATTGGGGTCAGTTCAGATTAATAGTGACCCTGTGTAAGGTTTCAGAGAACAGTTGGTAGGCTTGAACTTCTGACCTTGAAGTTACCACTTCAGTGTTTATCCTACAGCGCAACACTAGGATGTTAATGAAAATACCTATTTAATTGGGAGTCCTGGTGTGGCACCATACGATAAGCACTTGACCACAAGGTCTGTTTGAACCTCAGGTTGGTGGTTCAAATCCACCAGCTGTTCCTTGGAAACCCTATGCAGGATTGCTAAGAGTTGGAGCCGACTTGATGTTGTTTAACAACAACAATAAATTTTCAGGCAGTTCTAGAAAATTCTCCATCATTTGCTTCTAGAATTCTAATTAGGCATATGCTAGTCCTTCTTATTCCAAAGCCTATGTCTTTTAACCACTGCTTCATATTGTTCATCTCTGTCTCTCTGTGTTGCATGCTGGGTAAATTCTTCAGATCTATTGCCTCGCTCACTAATTCTAATTCTCTCTTCAGCTATGTCAATCTGCTCTTTAAGCTATTCATTGAATTTCTAACTGCAAATATTATGCTCTTGATTTATGGAAATACTACTTTTTTTTTTTTTTTTTTTCTTCAAATCTTCCTGATCATCTTTAATAGTCTCTTGTTCCTTAACTGTTCTTACATTTAGTGGCATCAGTTTCTTTAAACATATGCAACATCCTTGTTTTTATTACTTATTTCATAATTACAGGAGGTCCCGTGGTGCTGTAGGATAAACACTGGACTGATTACCTCAAGGTTGGTGATTCAAATCTACCAGCTGCTCTGTGGGAGAAAGATGAGGCAATCTGCCCTCATAAGGATTTACAGTGACCCTGTAGAGGATCACTGTGAGTCAGAATTGAGGTTTTTGCTGTTGTTTTTAAAATAGATATACCCTAATTCTAGTATCTGCAGTGTTGGATTGTTTCCTACTTTATGTAACTCTCATTCAACGTGCCTTTTGTCCTGTGTTTATGATTTATTTCTTTTTGCATGTTCCTTATACCATTTCCTGTGGGAATTCTTTGAAGTCTGAATTTAAGAGTTACTTGAGAAGAGAATTTTTGCATTTATTTCCACTAAATACCTAGGGCACGACCATCTACTTTAATATAAAAATCTGTGTTGTTTTATCTGTTTGTTGTGTGGTCATTTTTTTGCTGCACAGATGATGTGAACTCTACCCACTCCTGCACCCATAGCTGACTAGTAGCTGGGAGCATTCAGGGTGGACGTTTTTCCGGCTCCACTCACTATCATTGTTGAGCTTGGTGAGTTCCAGGTCAGCTCCCTTTCAACATGGTTTCTCTCCTAGCTCACCCATTGTGGGCATTGTATTTTAGGGACGGGGTTCTGATTTTATTTCCCACTATGCCTTGGCTCTAGTTTTGTTTTTCTTTTCCGGTGCATTAAACTGAAGTTCTTGGCCACCTGGTGTCAACTATTGCCTGAGGACAATTTTTGCTTCAATATCAATTTTTCTCTTTCTCTTTGGATTTGCACTTTTCTTGGTCATTTTGGGCCTCGGATTTTTCTTCATGTCTTGCCACCTCAGCTATGCATTTTTGCAAATGTTCTAACATCTTTTTATCTATATGTCTTTTGGGTGTTTTGTTTCAGAAAAACTTTTCAGAATATGTCATCTACCATATTGCCAGAAATGGAAATCTAGCCATTCATCCCAGCCCAACCAGAAGCATCTCTCAGGAAGCTGTCCATTAGCTGGAGTCCTCTCATTGTGTTTCTCTTACCCTGGTCTGTGCTTTGGTCACGTGTGTTTGAGAACCACATGCCCCTAATAGCAGGGATGAGGGTTTCCAGAGTGCCACATACCCAAGCCTTCTGTAAATGTCGCTTGAATGAACTTGAATCCAGGTGCTGCCCCCAACCTTCCACTAGAGGGCATCCTCAGCTGGTGCCATAGCTTGGTTGCCCCACATGATTGGGTGGGTCCCTGTGGCTCCAAATCCTGCAACATCAAATGTTCTCTTGGGACCTGGTGGAGGAGGAATCTTCTTCCCCTTTCCACAGGTAGGCAAATGAAGACAGATGAGGATTGGGGTATAGAATCTCAGTGTAGGGTCAGGACAAGTGAACTTGAGGTGAAGTTGTATGGGGTAGAGCAAGGAGGAACCAGTCTCCTATTTCAAGACTCAAAAACATCAAGGGTTCTGCTTGGACAGCCAAACCAAGTTACCTATTCACTCATTCAGTCAACAAATATCTATTAAGCATTGCCTGTGTGCCCAACACTGTGAGTGTAGTGGTGAATTAAACATACATGTTCCCTGCCTCAGTATTTACTTTAGCAGTCCTGGTGTGGCGCTGTGGGTTAATGCACCAGACTGCAAAGCCGTTTGAACTGCAAGGTCAGCGATTCAAGCTCACCAGCTAATCCTTGGAAACCCTATACAGGATCACTATGGGTCGGAATCGACTCGATGGCACTTGACAACAACAACATGAACCTCATGGTCAACTGTTTAAAACTACCAGCAGTTCTGTGGGAGAAAGATGAGGCTTTCTGCTCCTGTAAAGATTTACAGCCTCGGAAACTCTATGCAGGGTCACTATGAGTTGAAATCGACTCCATGGCACATAACCACCAACCACCATCACCAACTGAGCAGCTCAGCATGTCCTAACAAGCCAGGCTTTCTTGCTTCCACACCCTTGTTACTGCTGTTCCTTCTGGCCTAGACGCCCCTCCCCTACCGAAGGAAATCCTACTCATTCCCCTAGGCCAGCTGCCATATCTGACCTTGTAAGCCCTCCCCTCTACCCTCCCATAGAGGAAGACCCAGCCCAGCCCCAAAGGTGAGGAGAGCTGGATCCTTTTGTATCCTCTCAGTGACTAGCTCCCACCTGGACCTTCAAGCCCTTCCCTGTGGAAGACAACTCATCATGAGAGAGACTGAGACTCTCCTCTCACAAGTGCGCTCAGACCTTACATCCTTCTTCCTAGCAACCATTGCACCCAAGAACAAGGTAAACCTTGAGATGTAGTCCCACAAGAGTCAGAATCTGTGAAATGGGACACACAGTGGCACATTCATTCATTCATTCATTCATCTACTCTTCCAACATCTGTTTATGAAACATCTCCTCTGTACCAGGTCTTCCTCTTTGGGTCACCAGAAACGAGCTATTCCCTTCCCCTTGCTGCCCCTCCACCCCGGGTATTCTTGCTGAATCCTTTCTTGGTCTCACCTCATTACTCAGGAGGTTCAGCCAGGCTTGGTGGGCTCACAGCAGAGGTGACTGGGGGCTCTTCCCACCAGCCTTTGTCACACCAACCTGGCTTCCTGGAGACCAAACCACAGCAGAACAGCACGGAGGCGTGAGAGATACTCACAGGTGGGGGTTGGCCACAGGCGTGCAAGAGAGCAGCAGAGAGAAAGACACAAGCAGGAGCAGCCAGCGGCCGTGCCCACCCCGGGTACAGGATGGCACTGCCCACTGGTGGGCACGCATAATCGTCAGGGATGGCGCCAAACATGTGGTTCTTCTTTGTGATCGCAGGATGGCTGATGGCGACCTTCTCAGGTACCCAGTCCCGTCCCCTCATCTCATGCTGGAGGATGTGGTCCTGCCCTTGCAGCCTCCTTCAGGATGGTTCCCTTACACACTTCTTTCTGGGTCATTTTATCTAAGGCGGTGCCCCGGTACTAGGGGGGAACTAGCTGTGACAACAGTAGTCAAGGCTCAGAGCTGGAGCAGGAACGTCTTTAGGGACTGAGGGCTGTGCCTGGGTCTCATGCTCTCGTCCTAAGAGGCCTCTCTCCTGTGAGGAGAAAACATGGGCAGCATGTTGTCTTACAGAGGGCTCTGGGGGTCTGAGGAGGTGGGCTCCTCCCCCCATAGGCCCAGGGAGCCCCATTCCTTATTTCCCCAGGAGGGAACCGTTAACCCTCCAAAGAGATGGACCACCGATGACTATATTCCCCATCCCAGGCCTTGGGCTCACCAGGTTTGTAACCGCACTGGGAGAGCAGTCTCAGAAACAGAGTTTAGGACGGCTGGTTTCTGGGGCTTTAGCACTATCATCAGGGGTCATTTAGGGCACAAGCCAGTTAGAAGGCTCTTAAGCCCCCTTCCCCTCCTCCAATTCCTGAACTTCCAGGGAGCCCAGAGCCCTGAGCGGGCCTCAGGAAGGTGAACAGAAAGGCCTGAGAGCTGAGTAGCTTCCGTCAGTTTATCTGGCCCTGAGAACTTTCTTTAAATTTGAATTTATTGTTGTAGTTTGGGTAAGAGTTAACAAAGCAAATTAGTTTTCTAGCCGTAGATACATTTAGTTTTGTGACTTTGTAACATTTTGTTACAATGTAACAATATGCTTCCTTCCGTTATACCCTGTTTCTATTTGTCCATTCTTCCTGTCTTCTGACCTTTGGTTTTGGGCAAATGCTAACCTTTTGGTCTCTTATGGTTGATTGTTGTAAGTAGCACGTGTCCCTCACATTGTTATCAGTCATTTTATAAGCTTGTCTATTGTTCCGCTGAAACTGGATCCCCGAGGGTGGGTTCCATTACAGGCTGGAAGGATGTGTAAGGGCGAGAGTCTCGGGGTTCCACCAGTCACTGTTAGGTCAGTAAGTCTGGTCTAATATGATTTTGATTTTTTTTTTTATGATTTTGAATTTTGGTCTACATTTGTTGCTCTCCCACTTTGCCTAGGACCTTCTCTTGTGATCCCAAGCAGAGTCATGGGTAGTGGCAGTTGGGAGGTACCCAGTTCTTCTGGTCTCAGGCTAGTGAAGACTGTAGTCCCTTCCTGTGGTCCGTTCGTCCTTTGAATGAACTGTTTCCTGACGTTTTTGATTTTCTTTACACTGCTTTAGATGGAAGAGACCAGTGGTCTCTATCTTTGCCATGGTCCTATCTTTGCCTTGAGAATTTCTGTTCTATCTGCCAACATTCCTCACACGGCTATTTAGTTGATCCTTTAAAAACTGCATTTATAGTAATTAGATACAAGTTTAGGTTTGAAAGGAAACTTTATGTCACTATTGTAAATGGAAAACCATTGTCATTTGCCACAACAAAAGATCAAGGTAACCATTAAAATAAATGGTGGTGAAAACAAATGTATGTTATGTTCTAGTTAAAGGTTAAAAGAACGCAAAGGCCTTGAGCTGAAGCCTAAGACCAGCCTTCGGTTAAAAAGAGGAATGAGGGGTTGCTCAAGGAACCCTTGTTGCAAGTGTTATTTTCTTCTTAACTTTTCAGAAGATTTGAAAGCACTTTGAACAGAGAATGGCTCCCTCACTCTGTAGTTAAATGGAATTGAACTCTGCTTCAGTAAACCCTCTCTGGGGTCTCCGGTGGCAGGGGTCTTCCTGTTGAGAACTAGGAGCTGGTAGGAGGACACTGTAGACAGGAGAACTTGAGCCCAAGTTCAAGTTTGAATAGAGTGAGCCCCCTGGAGCAGCAAAAGTCGAGGCTGGCCTATGGCTTGTAGACAAGAAGTTGAGCACATCCCTGGGCCTACCTGAGCGCTTTGTCCCCTCCGTGTTGGTCCAGCACACTCACAGCCCAGCAGGTCGGTACCCATGCAGGGTAAGCGCACCCTAGCTCTGTTTGCAGGGGGTCCTACTGGCCATATCAGTATGTTGGTACAGATCAGCCTGGGGAAAGGGAGTGAGGAGTGTTATAAACTGTTAAGCACTCAACTACTTTTCAAAAGGTTGGTGGTCTGAAACCGTTCAGCGGCACCTTAGAAGGCAGGTCTGCTGATCTGCTTCTGAAGGATCACATCCTTGAAAACCCTGGGGAGTGGTTCTCCTCTGCACACATGGGGCACCATGAGATAGCGGCCACTCGATGGCAGCTGACAACAACAATGGAGAAAAGAACAGAAATGAAAGAGAAAGGATGGAGGAGGGAGAGCTGAGAGAATAGGACCCATGAGGAAGTTCGGAGCCCTCACCTAAGAGCTGCCTGGCTGCGGTTGCCTATCTCTGCCTGGGGACCAGGGGCCATGGAGCCTGATGCTCATGTTGGTTTCCCAGTTACAGCTCCAGGCTCTCCATCCTGGGCTCACACTGACCTCTCTCACCAACCTGGGCTTACGTTGGCCGATGCCCAGGGCAGATGCCAGGCAGGGCTTACAAAAGCAGGATCATTCTCTGCTGCTGTTGCCCTCAGGCCTTGGCCCAGGGTCAGTTTGTGTGCCTCCAATTCTGTGCCTCAGTTTCCTGATCAGACAACTGGAGATAAAGGGGCAGAGAGAATGAATGACACTCAGCCGAGACCCAAGAGGATGAAGTAGGACCAGGAGACTCTAACTCACTGTGTGGCTATCCTCCTTCTCCTCTCTGGGCCTCAGTGGTCCTATATGTGGAATGGGTTCTTTGGGCAGACAGTCTCTGAAGGCTTATCCAGATCTGACACAATATGTATGGGGCAGTAACAAAGACCCAGGCCTTTCCTGCAACACTATAGTGCCGAGGATGGTGACCCTAATTCCATCTGTACTGCATTTGGTTGGTGTTTCAAGACCTGTTTCTGTGTCTTGAAAAGTTCTTTATGGTCCTTCAGAAATAATCATTTTTAATTAGAATTTTAAAATCGACTTCTTTCTTAAACTTGTAAACTCAGTATACAAATCCCATTTTATTTGTAAGTGCAATGATTTTTAATGATGGCGTCCAAGAGGCCTTTAATTGATATTTAAGCAAATCAAGTTGATCAGGGTAAATTCCCTTAAACAATAAATGCTGCTTATAATGTTGTTGTTGTTATGTGCCGTGGAGTCGGTTCCGACTCATAGTGACCCTGTATAGGGTTTCCGAGGCTGTAAATCTTTACAGGAGCAGAAAGTCTCATCTTTCTCCTACGGAACAGCTGGTAGTTTCGAACTGCTGACCTTGTGGCTCGCAGCCCAATTCGTAACCACTACGCTACCAGAGCTGCTTATAATAGATGAAGCTAATTAGGTTCCTTTAGATCTGGGCCGACCCATAAGGTACCACTAGAACTGTGCATTTGAGTGTGGTAGTCTAAACCGAGCTCTGTTGGAAATGTATGATACTATGTCAACAGATTTTGAAAGTTTGTACCAAAAAGAATGGAAAACATTTCATTAATAAATTTTTATTGGAAGTACATATGGAGATAATCCTATTTTTGACATGTTGGGTTTAGTACATTTTATTATTACAATTAATTGTGCTGATTCTGTGAAGATACCCAGCTTTGGACACCCTCTGGAGCCGTTCTGCTCTGTTCTATAAAGTCTGTCAGCCAAAATGGGCTCCATGGTAGTGGGTTTGGTTTGGTTTGGTTTCTTTTTATATATTTATATATGGGGAGCACAGTGGTTCTGTAGGGTAAGCACTGGACTATGGACTACAAGATCAGTGGCTTGAGTCCACTACTCGCTCTGTGGGAGAAAGATGAGGCTACAGCCTCAGGAACCTTATACAGGGTGGCCATGAGTCAGAACCGACTCGACGGCACTGAACAGCAACAACATCCCTCCAGACTTATGTTTTAAAATGTGGCTACTAGAAAATTTTAAATTAAACAGGTAGCTCGTGGTAGATTTACACCGCATAGCAGTCACGGCCTTAGCGATTCTAAAGTACATTTTAAAACTAAATGAAGTTGATTTTCTGATAAATGCTTTAAATACCTCTAAGAAACAAAATCCTCATGAGCTCCTCAAAGAATGTATAGAAATCTAAAAATGAGTTTATGAACAAAGTGACTATTAAGCTTTCTCAGATCTGAGGCTTCATTAAATTCTCTTCAACTTTCAACTTAAAATTTCAGCTGAAGTCAATCCCTCAATCACATCTGAGAGAGACTCAAATGGTCAAACATTACAAATACAAGATGTGTACGTTGAGGCACGCTCTCTGGGATTTCTGCATTCCCAGAGTCTGGTGTGGCACCCTAGGCTAAGCACTCAACCACAAGTTTGGTTTGAAGCACATGGTTGGTGGTTCAAATTCACCAGCTGCTCCTCAGAAACCCTATACAGGGTCGCTATTAACAACAATCCACTTTCCCAGTACTGGGCTTTATACATAAACACACAGAACTCGACCCAATTTACGCTTAACACAAATGTAGAAACTCTTCCATTTTTGTTCATTTAATCATCTCTGTTTTTCCCCTTATTGTTGTTAAGTGCTGTTGAGTTGGTTCCTACTCATAGGGACCCTGTCTAGGGTTTCTGAGAAGCTGCTGGTGGGTTTGAACTGCCTACCTTGTGGTTAGCAGTCCAATACTTATTACTACTTTTCCCACTGAATAGACTTCATTTTACAGAACAGTTTTAGATTTACAGGAAAACTGTGTGGAGAAGTATACAGCATTCCTGTAGGCCCCTCTCCCCTGTGTAAACAGTTTCTCCTATTAATAATTTCTTACAATTGATGAACCAGTACTGATGTATTCTTATTAATGAAAGTTCATGGTTTATAGTTCCTTGCAATGTTTTAAATTCTTATTTTCCTGGCATTAAAAGCTGCTTGTTATTATAACATCTGATTCACGGCAGCCCCACGTGGGCAGTGTAGAACTGCTCCCTAGGGTTT